GAAGAATTAGCGAGGTGGCTAAAGCGATAAAATAGTATTTCCTCATGAAAATAGTACTAACGAAACAAATATCAGATACCAACCGCAGAATAACTATACCTTTGACAGACACTGTAATATGAGTAATATATTATTTTAACAAGTGTCTATAAAACGTTCTTCCATACTTACATTGGTATACAATGTGTTTAGAAAAAGTTGTAACATAAAATTATATTTACAATATTTTTTTCTTTAATTACTTAATCTCTTAAATAGAGGGCGTTTCAAAATTTTACAGCAGGAAATTTTTGCCAAAGCACCGCGCATCATCATTGGAGAGCTTTTGTTTCGTTTGTTGTTAAGCGCGAAGCTTCATAATAGGGTTGCTATCTGTGCTGTGTTCACCATGGGTGTGAAACCAGATTTTTGGCGTTATAAGCCTTCACCCTTACAGCCGAGCCACTGTGGGGGTGGGCAACAGGGATATTCACTTCAACTGATTAATATTCCGTTTTACTGAAGAACTGAGGGAACAACAGTAATTAAGAAATATCTGATCATTGTAGTGTTCACAAGCATTTCATTTATATTATAGCTTAATTACATTCAAAAATTACAATATTTTAATTTTGCAACTATATTAAGTTTTTCTTAATATATATTTGTTAACGTTTTTATATATATCTTCGAAATTGCAATATTTAAGAGCTAATTATCATCCATACAATATGTATAGAATTGTTGTTACGTCACTCCTGTGATTCTTCTTTAATCCCCTATCAATCTAGAATCGATTCTGTCAGTTTTAGGCCTACCTCCGAAACGTTGCTAATAAAATCAGATTTCTATTTGAGAGGTGAAGTTACCATGTGTTTGATGTTACTTTATTTCTTCAGTTTATTTTATTTTGCTGTACTTAAACATCTATATAAGCAACCCTAGGGGAGAAATATACATTTCACACATAACAACAGCAACAAAAAATATGGGAACTCCGGGAATAATTGGACTTCAATATCTTACCCTAATACTTCCACTTGGTCGGGGCCAAATTTAAAATTGATCAATATAAACAGATATGGTAACTCCAAGAATAATTGGTCTTCAATATCTTATTTACTACCACTTGGCCAGGGCCAACTTTAAAACTGATCAATATAAACAGATATGCTAACTCCAGGAATAATTGGAATTCAATATCTTATTTACTACCACTTGGCCAGGGCCAAATTTAAAACTGATCAATATAAACAGATATGCTAACTCCAGGAATAGTTGGACTTCAATATCTTATTTACTACTACTTGGCCGGGGTCAAATTTAAAACTGATCAATCTAAACAGATATGCTAACTCCAGGAATAATTGGACTTCAATATCTTATTTACTACTACTTGGCCGGGGTCAAATTTAAAACTGATCAATCTAAACAGATATGCTAACTCCAGGAATAGTTGGACTTCAATATCTTATTTACTACTACTTGGCCGGGGTCAAATTTAAAACTGATCAATCTAAACAGATATGGGAACTCCAGGAATAATTGGACTTCGATACTTCCACTTCGCTGGGCCAATTTTAAAATTGATCAATCTAGACATATATTTGCTTTATTAAACAGTTTATAGGGTGTATGTAATTAATCAAGCAGTCATCTGAGTGTCCAGTTATCAGTGATATTAAACCTAGCAGGTGTTGAATATTCAAATCCACAAAAGCATTTCTATGAAAAAATAGAAGTGATGATAGATCTACCGAAACGGCGAGTCTAATCACGTATCGTTTTTTTTTTTCTTTTTTAAGATAGCAAAATAGTTGTAGAGGCATCCTATCTTACTGGCTATCAGGTGTCGACATTGTGGAAAATTATTTCTATTCATATACCTTACTTTCATATCTGAATTAATTGATCTTGTAAATCGTAATGTTATCATTTTACAACACACACCATAGCAACTTAAATCCTTGCATCTTATACATTCAATGAAACCTTTAAACAGTAAAAAAAAAACAGAAGCCAGTTTTCTGTTATAGGCAGAAGTCGATTACTTCAAACATTTTATATGCAAGATAACTAGTTATATTAGTACGTGAGCATTGTCTGAGTTGAGTTAAAAATACGTATATTTTATTGTTTTCTGGATGTCGTTAGATGTGTTAATTAATGTGCTAACCTTGGCTGACGTTGGGCGTGGACATTGGTTGCTTAAGATGACGCCGTTAACATATCTGCAGCGCTGAATAAGACCTTGAGTGCTTCTGTCTTGGAAAATGCTAGAAAAACTACCTTCTATAGTTCAAATATTTGTTAAGATTTCATTAAATAGATATAATAAAGTGTTCTTGATTAAATCACGTCTCTAAACATCCACCATTAAAAATATGTTTCTAACTATATTATTAAAACTGTAGAAATGTGTCTATAACATTATCTTTACAACCATAGAAACATATTTCTAATTTTACTATTACAACCATATAAACATGTTTTTAGCGTTACCATTATAAGTATAAAAATGCATTTCATATTTTACCATTATAACTCTAGAAACGTGTTTCATATTTTACCATTATAACTCTAGAAATGTGTTTCATATTTTACCATTACAAATGTAGAAACGTGTTTAATATTTTACCATTACAAATGTAGAAGCGTGTTTCATATTTTACCATTACAAATGTACAAGCGTGTTTCATATTTTACCATTATAACTGTAGAAACGTGTTTCATATTCTACCATTACAAATGTAGAAGCGTGTTTCATATTTTACCATTACAATTATAAAGACAAGTTCAAGACCTAGTGAGTATCCCACTTGAACGATGTTTATGATGTATATTATTACAACTGTGTGAACTATCTCACCTCTCTATCGTTAATGAGTAAAATATCTTACTTAAACAAAGATCTGCATATGAACTTGGTGTAAAAATAATGTATGGTGTTTATATGCATATGTATGGGTTAACAAAAGCTGTAAGGTGTAGGTAACGTGTACATGTAATTGAATTAAAGCAGTGAGTGTGTCTCGTAAACAACAGGCCTGGCATGGCGTGGTGGTTAAGGCGTTCGGCTCGTACTCTGAAGGTCGCGGATTCGAATCCCCGTCACTGAACATGCTCGCCCTATCAGCCGGGGTGGCGTTATTATGTGATTGTGAATCCTACTATTCGTTGGTACAAGAGTAGCCCAAGATGGTGGATGGTGTTGACTAGCTCCCTTTCCTCTGGTCCATAAATGCTAACTTAGAGAAGGCTAGCGTGTAGCTATGGATTAAATTCAAAACAAACCAAATTAAACCATTAACTACAGACATATTTATATGGTGTTTGTGGGACTTGTGCATAGATCTTACATCCACAGACATCTGTTAAATCACAACACATTTTATTCCCTTGGTTGTACCTTGATGTTGTCTAACCAACTCTTGTAGTCACATATGGGTTTTGGCCTGATTGCTTTAGTGTTTATAAATTTGATTTTAAGGTGTTTTAAATTTCGATTTGGATTTTTGCCCAAAGCTACACAAGGACAATCCATGCAAGCCGCTCTTATTTATGAGCTCATAGGCTAGAGAAAATGCAAACAACCAACAACACCCATCACCAATTACCGGGCTATTTTAATAGAATAGTGAGATATGACTGTCGCTCTTATAACGCACCAATGCCCCAAAGTCCAGAGTGCAACGTTGCTGTAACGGGAGGAGAATCTCGAATTCACTGTCGAAAACGTTAACCATTAGGTCTTGTCAGGCCCAATGAATTACATCTTATCAAAGGGTATTTTCTTTACATATATATGTATACAAAGAGGACTTTTTCAAGACTTCCATTTTCTAATTTGTCCTGTTTTCTCAAAATTATTCGTCCCAGGTTTCAGCGTTGTAAGTTTTTAAGCTTCCCGCTGTTCTTTCTAGGGACTCGTCCATATCATGCATGTAAATATATTGATAGTAACTGAAGCTTTCATTCGGCGGTTACTGTATTTTTGCACATTGATAGAAGTTTCACATTTCTCATGTCATACATTTTAGTAATATTATATGAATATAGCTAGCTTTTTAAAAAAATAAACAAAGTACTATAATGTTAATTTATTAATCAATAATTTTCTACTCATCGCTATTGGTTTATAGCTTTTTTATCGATAGAATCTTTAAATAATTTTGATGGTTAGAGCTTAAAGATTTTACTTGTCCAAGAAAATAAAATCTTTATATCGGAAATATTTTTTATATGTTTACAAGAAACTCAATTATTCGCTTATCACAGTGATATATGTATATACTGTGTGTGTGACGACTTTTATGTAGTTATGCTGAAATTCCTAAAGGGTTAGAAGGTTCTCTTGAACACCTCTCTTTTCAGACAAGTGACCAGCTCAGGTTATTTCCTGATGTCTTACGATATTACTGAAATACTAGTTTAATTAAAAATCTTATATTCGATATATCTTACCCTTGTTTATCTTTGTTTTATTCGGGTAACAGTTAACCCAACGGAATCTTGTACGCCGGATAAGGAATAAACGCATTTAAGTCAACTAAATACATAATTTATCTTTAAATAAAGATAATTCATTTAAGTACGCAGGCTCGTTTTAATTCAATAGCATCAACAAAACATTAGGTCTTAAAGAAGCTGGATCACCACCTAGTAGACACAGAATCTAACAAAATATGGTGTTCTTTCTACTATTGTATATCTTATCTTGTCATTATCATTGGAAGGATCAAGTGACCTTCATGGACAACCCCGCCCTTTAAAGAGGAGATTATCCAACAGGAAATCTTCTTTCCCTGTTCTGCTATGCGAATTCCATCCAGTTTCTTGTAGGAAATGGGTCAAATATTTTTTTTTATTAGACATTAATTTTTGTAACTCATGTACTCTGACCATTTGACCTTCAACAAAAATATCTTTTCAACCTACAGTTCCATGTTTAAACACGAAAAGAAGGGGGAAGATGTAGCGGCTGGTTAGCCTTCAACTGAAGCCTTTTATGTTGACATTTCTACAACTCCTCCCCTTGTAATCCGTTACATTTTCAACTACTTGATCGCATTGAACTCATTGCATAGAGGGAGCAAAAGAGGTAAATTAAACAGTCATTATTGCTATGTTATGTTGAAAAAACTTGTGGTCAGTACTATAAAAGCAGCTTTGGAGGATCGTGCAAAGCATAGCCTGACAGAGTCAAGCAAACGAACAAAACCTATCAACATGAACAAGCTGGTAAGTTCAGAATTCAATCCTTTTTCAAATCATGGTTTGTTAATAGTAGAGTATAAAGGGCGTTGTAATGGTGGCTGGAACAATGAAATGTAAAAAAATCCCTAAATGTTTATAATCAAGGATAATAGATAGCAAGTATATGAGCAATTAGAATCCCAGTTCTACATAATATCAGAATTTCAATTGCTAACGTTTTATCGAAGACGACTTCCCTTATACACCACTTTAATAACAACAGACTAAGTTGGTCGGAGAATTTCTATTTGTTTCCCTCTGTGTGTGACAAATCAAACTCTAACTCTTACGTTATTACATTAAATGCTTCTAATAGGTATTTATAAGTTTTTAAAAAAGGCTATTTTGATTCATATTTGAGCCTATGCTTTAACACTTTACGCTTGTGTTTTGAAATGTGTTTGAAATAACTGAGTTTTAAGGGAACATTATGTAAGCTAGCGTTTTCTCTCGTGCAGTTTGTCCTTCTTGTCGTCGCCCTTATGGCCACCGTTGCTGTGGGTCAAGCCGTGAGATACGCAAATGGCTACACCTACGACATCGAAACTGGCCAAGTGTCCAGCCCTTACACAGGCAGAGTATACGAAACTAAGGGAAAAGCTCCCTTTTATGGTTTTGGTTTCAAGTATCCCTATCACTATTATCCAGGCTACTATCACGGATATCCCCATGTCTTCTACTAAACAGTCTTGTAAGTAGGAAAGATTGCTCTTAAATTGAAACATTTTGCTCAAAAAATGTTTAATTTATTTTTCCTTTAAGCAGCTACGAGTAATGCCCCAAAATATATCTATATTTATATTTTATTTTATTTTCCTTTAAACAGCTACGAATAATGCCCCAAAATATATCTATATTTATATTTTATTTTCCTTTAAGCAGCTACGAATAATGCCCCAAAATATATCTATATTTTATTTTATTTTCCTTTAAACAGCTACGAATAATGCCCCAAAATATATCTATATTTATATTTTATTTTATTTCCCCTTAAGCAGCTACGAGTAATGCCCCAAAATGTATCCATGTTTATATTTAATTTTATTTGGACAGTGTTTATAATAATTGACTGCTCCATGTTTATGGAATACAGGACAATAAGATAACCTAGCACCACTTCTGTTTATAAGATTGTTGTCATTAGAACTTACGAATTAAAACAGCTAAGTTTCGTTCAACGAATCTTCTGAGAAGTTAAGATCAAACTTTAGACACATAATTTTGATTGATATATTTGATTATTTTTCGTTTTTTCATTTGCAGTGTACCAAGTTTATTCTTCCAAACAACATATTGGCCAAACTTTCAAACTTAACTTTTCTTTTGACTCTTCAGTGATGATCATCATCAAATAAAAGAAGCATGAGTTTGTCTCCAAGTGCCACTTTTATGACGTCACTACTGGATATTCCGAGTAATTACAACACGTCTTCTACGCTATGCTGTTCTTGTATATAATAGGAAAATAATAATAAAACTATTTCAACCTCTTCTTTTGTATTTTTATTGTTATTGCTTTCGATATGAACAAAATTCCATGACGTTGAAAACACATTAATAATCTAGCTGTTTCACTTAATAACCTATCCGTTTCATTTAATAACCTATCCGTTTCACTTAATAATCTATCCGTTTCATTTAATAACCTATTCGTTTCACTTAATAATCTATCCGTTTCATTTAATAACCTATTCGTTTCACT